TCACTCGCACATTCCCACACATCGGTACACGCGCAACCGAGTCTTCGTGGTTCAACTAAGGTTTCGCCTATCGTGTCAGGCGATTCGCACTGTCCGATTGGCTGACTGACCGTAAACTTTCTCGTATGAGTTCTCTTGGCACGTGTGTGCACCTGTACGTGTGACACGCAGTATAGTAAAGATTGTCATATATCTCGGTGCACCGACACATAGCTAAAGGCGCGTAACGTACTCTCTCTCTCTCTCTCTCTCTCTCTCTCTCTCTCTCTCTCTCCCCCTCCCTCCCTTCTTCCCACTATGTTCTGCTGCCATACACACACGTAATGCTCTCAGAGTCTATTACGTCCGTACTAGAGGATACGCGCAACGTAAGAGCGTACAGCCGAGTTCACATGCACCAGCGTGTTATTTTTATGAATGACTCCGAGCCCCGTGACTGCATGCGCCCGCTGAGACGCCTACGAGGTTCGTTCGTTCCCTGTTGGAACTTCCATTCTTTCTCTATTACTTACGGCGCTCTCGAGGGTTTCAATAGTCTCACCTTGTGGAATACGTCGTACTGCGATGGATGGACTCGTTTGCTCGTAGCTTTTCTTCCTATTATTTTTTTTTATTTTTTTATTTTTTTTTCCTTGAATCGTAATTGGAAATGGGTTCGGGGCAGTTTACGTTTGGCCAGTATGGCTTTGGGCATCGGCGAACAGGTCGTGGAGAGGAGAAGGAACGAACGGTCTCTTTGGTATGGATCCGAGGACATTCTCAGAGAAAGAATAAAACTACTCCCCGTAGGGTCATCGGATGACCCTGAGAGAGGGGTCATCCGTCTCGGAGGATGTCTGGCTGTTAATTAAAATGTGCTCGGCATCTGGCACGGGGGACTTCGCTGCTTCCCGTCAGTGTTTCTTATGCGCGAATCGTACGCACGATTCGCTTGAGAATCGCCTGCGAATGGCACTTGGCCGGCAGCTGCCGGCATATCAATGCACATCCAGGGATGTCGTCACTTCCTGTGTGTTGTCGCTGCGTCTCCTCGCGGAGACCAGTCGAGACGTAGCGTGTATGCATTTTCTTTTCTCTCTCTCTCTCTCTCTCTTGCCCCTGTCTCCCTTTCAGTGTCTTACGCCCTTTTTCTCCTTTTCTCATTCTTCCACTCCTCGCTGCATTGTCCTGCGAGAACCGTTAGGGAGCACCGAGCGAGTATGAATGAGTCGGATTATCCTTCGTAATTTCGCGTCCCTCGTTAACTCCTCAGCCTGTAAAACAGCATTTCGACATTTTATTCCATAGCCTATTTAACGTCCCACAAATTCGAAGCCTTCGCAGACCTTTATTTATTCCGCTTCTTGTTTTCCCACTC